ATGGAAGCGTGATCTGATTTGCCGAAGGGAGGGCGGGGGAGGGCCTTGTAGACGTCCCGGAAGGGGGAGTAGCAATGGTCCAGAGTTCTCGATGCGCGAGTAGCAATGGAAATGTGTTGATAGAATTTCGGTAGAGTTTTCCTCCGATTTCTTTTATTAAAGTCCCAAGCTACAATAAATGCAGCCTCAGGATATGCGGTTTCCAGTTTGGACAAAGTGTAGTTCCAGTGCAGTTCCTTGAGAGCCGTCGTGGTATCAGCTTGGGGGGGGGATATACACGGCCGTGACGATGACCAAAGAAAATTACCTCGGGAGGTAATGCCGTCGGCATTTGATGGTGAGGTATTCCAGATAGGTATTTATTTCTTCCTATCCGTGCAATGGATGGAGAACCCCACTGGCAGGCTGAATGGACGAGGACAGTATATCCAGAGAGAGCCATGATTCCGTAAAACAGAGTATGTTACAGCCCCTGATGTTTCTCTGGAAGGAGATCCTCGCCCTGAGATCGTCTACTTTATTGTCCAGGGACGTTAGCAAGTAATATACTTGAAAGTGTGGGATGGTATGCACGCCTCCTGAGTCTGAACCCACTCCTTGTTCCTCTTCTCCAGAGACGGCGTCTTGGAGCAGCCCCCGAGATTAATGGAATTGCCTCTGGGAGTTCAAACAAAGTTGAATTTCGGGTCGAAATGCAGGTGAGCGATCGCCGAATCTAATATCCGAAAGTTATTTTCGGCTGTAAGTAATAAAGAAACGTTCTGAGCAAACAATGTTTAAAAAAAAGCTAGAAACCATGTCTGTCGGCGCCATTTTGTGTCTCATGTTGAATTATGTGAAAACCAAGCCTCAACTGGGTCCTGGTGTCAAGAAAGCAACGGCACACTATGATGGCTATTTTAGCCTGCTGCTGCTATTTCAACTTTACTTAGATACTGAATTTAGAGAGTCACTTTCACTATGTACAGTGCTTTCAGAAAGTATTCACACCCCTTTACCTTTCCAAATTTTGTTGTGTTACAGCCTAAATTAAAAACTGATTACATTTAGATTTTGTGTCACTGGTATACCACATAATACTGCATGAAGTAGAATTTTGTTAGTAGATTTTTTTTTTTATTAATACAAAAATGAAAAGCTGAAATGTCTTGAGTCAATAAGTATTCAACCTCTTTGTTATGGCAAGCCTAAATAGGTTCAGGAGTAAAAAATGTCTTAACAACTCACATAATAAGTTGTATGTTTAAAATGATTTTTGAATGACTACCCCATCTCTGTACCCCACACATACAATTATAGGTAAGGTCCCTCAATCGAGTAGTGAATTTTAATCACAGATTCAACCACAAACACCAGGGAGGTTTTTAAATACCTCGCAAAGAAGGGCACCGATTGGTAGATTTAACAAAAGCAGACGCTGAATATCCCTTTGAGCATATTGAAGTTTTTAATTAGGCTTTGGATGGTGTATCAATACACCTAGTCAATACAAAGATACAGGCATCCTTCCTAACTCAATTGCCGGAGAGGAAGGAAACTGCTCAGGCATTTCACCATGAGGCCAATGGTGATTTTAAAACAGTTACAGAGTTTAATGGTTGTGATATGAGAAAACTGAGGATGGATCAACAACATTGTAGTTAGTCCACAATACTAACCTAAATGACAGAGTGAAATGAAGGAAGCTTGTACAGAGTAAAAATATTCCAAAACATGCATCTTGTTTGCAACTTAAGTAATACTGCAAAAAAAAGGCTAATAAATGAATTTCTTGTCCTGAATACAAAGCGTTATGTTTGGGGCAAATCCAACACAACACATCACTGAGTGCCACTCTTCATATTTTCAAGCATGGTGGGGGCTGCAACATGTTATGGGTATGCTTGTCATCGGCAAGGACTAGGGTGTTTTTAGGATAAAAATAAATAGAATACAGCCAAGCACAGGCAAAATCCTAGAGGAAAACCTGGTTCAGTCTTATTTCCAACAGACACAGGGAGACTAATTCACCTTTCAGCAGGACAGTAACCTAAAACACAAGGTCAAATCTACACTGGAGTTGCTTACCAAGACGACATTGAATGTTCCTGAGTGGCCTAGTTACCGTTTTCACTTAAATCGGCTTGAAAATCTATGGCAAGACTTGAAAATGGCTTTCTGACAATTATCAAAATCCAACTTGACAGAGTGTGAAGAATTTTAAAAAGAACAAATAGACAAATATTGTTCAATCCAGGTATGCAAATCTCTTAGAGACTTACCCAAAAAGACTCACAGCTGTAATCACTGCCAAAGGTGTTTCTAACATGTATTTTCTCAGGGGGGTAAATATTCATCTAATCAAGATATATTCATTTTTTATTTTTCATTAATTTTTCTTCCACTTTGACATTACAGAGTATTTTGTGTAGATCGTTGACCAAAAATGACAATTAAATCCATTTTAATTGCACTTTGTAACACAACAAAATGTGGAAAAAGTCAAGGGGTGTGAATACTTTCTGAAGGCACTGTGTATTGCTACTGTAAAGCAGTGATGCTGCAGACGTGCAGACTGTCATTAAAGTTAACTTCCTGTTATGCAAGAACCAATGAACATGCTGGAACTCCTGACCGTGACCGCTAGACATATTACTTAACTGAACCAGGGAAGTACATACTTGTCTTTAAGCCAAATGGTTGCTATGAGGAAATAGGTTGCAATAAGAAAAACGTTTTTAGAGAGAATACTGTCTGTGTGGAAAAACCTTTTGTTTGCCTTTGTGAAAATAGATAATCCAATACACAGTTATAACTGAAGTCAGTAACAATGAACTGTGTGGTGAAATGGTTTCCATTTTCGCACTGCAATGACCTAAGAGTCACATATAGCACCGTATCTCCCCACAGAGACAAGAGCTGATTCACAGAGACATATCTGAGTCATAAATCTACTGACGCCAGACATTTCACTTGACATCCTCTCTCACACTGTCCTCTCCACGGCCTCATGGTTGTGATGAGAACACTCCTCCAGCCCCTCACAAGCTAGAAAGAGCTACAGTAATCTGCACTGCTCTAAGGCCAGCATGACATACATAGACAGATATGAACAATGTTTCCCCGGGACGCTTCAGTGCAGAGTTCTCCTTACTAGCTTGAAATGGCATCTTGCAGATGATCATACAATCCCTATGATGAACTGACACTCTGCTCAGACAAGTTAAAATAGATTTGCTGTGGCAGGGTGGAGGTATTTCAGAGCCTACGGGTGCCTGAGATCTCAATAGAAATGTCTCCCAGCCCAGGTTTATATTTTGATTGTGATCCCATACTTTCCCATACAAATATAGTCATCTAGACCTGGAATTTCACCAATAGGCTAATGGAATGAAATGCCTCAGGCCTATCTTCTAAATATTATGAGATATGGTATGCCTACTTTAGGGAATAATGTATATAATGTCTACAAAGTCTATAATGTATATACACTGAGTGTAAAAAACACTCAGTGCCTTGACACAATTGAGACATGGATTGTGTATGTGTGCCATTCAGAGGGTGAATGGGCAAGACAAAATATTTAAGTGCCTTTGAACAGGGTATGGTAGTAGGTGGCAGGCACCCCGGTTTGTGTCAAGAACTGCAACACTGCTGGGTTTTTCACACTTAACAGTTTTCCATGTGTATCAAGAATAGTCCACCACTCAATATTAGGAACGGGTTCTTAATGTTTTGTACACTCAGTGTATTGCAAACTATGTTATTTACATGCACGTAGTTGCTAAACAGAAAAACAACCAGTAGAGGTCTATCATGACTCTGAAATCGACTATGTCAAGCCATCTCCGCCCCCAATCCCCATCACTCAACGTAGCCTGAGCCGACTAGACGTTTCAGTACCTGGGGCGGGACTGTAGACACGCAAAGCTGAGCTTCTCGCTGATTGCTCGAGCGATCCTCGTTTGGCTTCTCCATTGGCTATCATCCGGGGTCCGTGAAGCAGTATGCAAATAGTCCCGATGTAGCCTACCGATTGAAAACGCTGAGGCCATAAACAGTACAGCTGGACTGCAGAGGGGAAGGGGGCGTGCCACGCAGCATTCAGGAACCTCAACCATATTTCATTGGAATGGCTAAATAACAATTTTTTCGATTCAGTTCTGAGACAGTTAGTCCGTTTATTCATCAGCAACATTTAAAGTTTTTATCTTTCTAATGAATTGCACAAGGTAAGCTCACAGTGTGTCAAAGATGAAGCGTTTCGATGCACAGTCAATAGATGGGACATTCATTTTGAACTGCGCAATGAAAGAAAACTAAACGTTACTTAAATATAAACGTTTTTGAATGCCAGTTGAGATGACCTCTGTGGCAAAAATATCATTAACTCACTCACAGACCAGTTTTCTTTTGGCCTGGAGACTTTTTCTTAAATGTTTTATTGACTGGCCATTATATATTGTAGGGTTTCACAAACTCGGTCCTGGGGTCCGCCCTGGTTACACACATTTTGGTTTTTGCCCTAGCACTACACAGCTGATTCAAAAAACCAACTCATCATCAAGCATTGATTATTTGAATCAGCGGTGTAGTGCTAGGGCAAAAACCAAAATGGGTGCACCCAGGGCGGACCCCAGGACCGAGTTTGTGAAACCCTAGCCTACTGCCGGAATCATTGCTATGAACTTAAACCTGTATGTGTTAAAGCCAATCTAGTGTGAGTAAGGTTGATAGCTATTTATTTTCTGGATTTTTGTAGGCTATTGCTTATTATTTTTTTGAAAATAATTAGGCCTATTAGAATTGTTAAATTATGCAATATAGTTCCCTCCAAAGGATTATTATAGCCTGCTGTAAACTATTTTGAGCGTTATTGTCAGTGTAGATTTTCAAAATGTTCCAGGAACAAATGTATTATATATTTTACAAATTTGTGTTATATTAATTTGGATGACAGGTCTCTTCAATTAATGACCTACATCAGCAGGGGTCTGGGAGAAGGTAGCACATCCAGTGAAATGAGGTCAGGGTTCCACAGCTGCATTTAGAACATCAGAATTCTGACTCAAGTTCCATTATTTTGTTGGACCACATCCTACATGGGCTTACTATTTTCAATCTCACCTAAACAGATAAGTTTCACCTATAACCTCGCTAACGTCTGGTGCTTTCTTCTTGTTCAACAGGGTCCTCCACATGTTGAACCCCAGGCCAATGCCAGGTCCTATCATGCCAGTAGATGTAGCCATGAGGATCTGCCTGGCAAGCTCTCCGCCCCTCCGCAGCTTCCTCAGCACGTACGAGGACTGCCGATCGCGAAACCTGGTCAACCGCTACAAACCACTTAGGCCATGCATCAGCTCCAAGCAGCAGGTAGAGGCCTCTAGCCTGGGATGGAAGAGTCCCAAGGCCATGGGAAAGAAGCGGGTGGTCTTCGCCGATTCAAAAGGCATGTCCCTAACGGCCATCCACGTTTTCAAAGAGTTTGAGGAGGACCCACTGTCTGACCTGCAGTTTGACCTGTCTGACCTGGCCAATGCCACTGCCGGCCTCAAGGTCTCCGTGGAGAAAAGTTTTACTCTGGATTTCCCTCAGCCCGCTGCAGATTATCTGGACTTCAGGAACCGGCTCAAGAAGAACCAAGTGTGTCTGGAGAACTGCACTCTCCAGGAACGGTCGCTCACCGGCACTGTGAAAGTCAGGAACGTAAGCTTTGAGAAATCGGTCTCCATCCGGATAACGTTTGACTCGTGGAAAACCCACACGGACGTTGCTAGTACGTACCTGAACAATGTGTACGGTTGTTTGGACACTGACACCTTCGCTTTCACCGTCGACCTGCCAAGTTCTGTGCCCTCACAGGAGCGTGTAGAGTTTTGCGTATGCTTCGCCACCCAGGATCAGACGTACTGGGACAACAACGATGACAAGAACTACAAGTTGCTCCACAACGACACAGACACAGACCAGACCAGCAACCCCATCATCCAGACCACCACACCAGTGGAGTTCAAGGGAGACGGCAAGAGGCCGGAGATGGAGTTTGACCAGTTTGGGAGCCCGAGGACGTCCAGTGGATTCTTCCCTGAATGGCAGAGCTGGGGACACATAGAGAATACAACCCCATACTGGTGAAGCAACAACAAGGCCTTTATGAGAAATCCACAAGCTGCTCCAACAGCATCAACTCCAATTGCTTGATGTAAGAGGAGTGACTACAGAACATTTAACAGCTGATTCATGCCCCCCCCAACAGTGAAGAGATAAGCACAATCTGAACAGTGAAGATGTTAAAGGTCTGCGACTCACAAATCAACAGTTAAGGTCATTGTGGGGCTTTAGAATGGGCATGTTTGTTTTGTCAAAATCCTTCTGTCAATGAAAGGTTCAGAATAGGTTTCTCTTCATGTTTGGGGGTATACAGGAAGGTACACAAATCTATAAACAACAGTTTGAGCCCGTAAACATCCGTTGTTGTCATCCAGTTAACACCCTAATCACTGTGACCAGTACTCAACATAAAGCATTGTGGTAAAATGCCATCATAGCCACACAAATATAGCTAGAATTAACAACAAATAGCAAAGGGCATTCAAGATTCAGTGATATCTAGAAATTGGTTTAGACTTTAAAAGTGGACACAATTTTTGTATTGAACTAAAAAATGTGGTAAATCATGAGTTGTCGTAACATAGATGCCTTCCTTTGTAATGTTAATGTGATTGTCCGTTAAACTGTTAGTAATCTCGGCCACCTGCCGGCTCACTCTCTGTCGAGACTACTCTATGCGCCTGCAATTCGAGCCTGGGGATGAGGTTAAGCTGTTTGTAATGCAATGGCATTACTTCACCACCTGTATACACAGCGAGTAGGGACTGGATTCAATCCGTATCGCGTAAAATCTGTGTTAGAATTTAAAGGTAATTTCCGATTGAGCCGACACATGCAGCGTTTACCGTGAATGCAGTCTCCGAACACAGGAACATTGCCTTTAAATTTCAATCGTGCTATAACTCGGATCTTCTGCGATACGGATTTAATCCAGCCCTATATGTACAGATTTAATCCAGCTCTAAAGCCTTTTCAAAAAGAGAAAGATAACTCCAGATTTGGGAGCCTGCACTTTAGTGAATATTTTCAAAGGAGGTTTAGCATTTTGTACATGGAGATCTGTTTTGGTGAGTTTATAAATACAGAATTAGCTTTACTTGCCCTGTAATAGATGGAACTATTCCTTGCTGTTAGACATATGGTAAGCCACCAACATGTCAGTATAATGTAAGTCACCCGAATGTTGACAGACATTGACAGTTCGAGAGCAGTCTTTGCACTGACCGAAATACAGTATGCCTTTTTAAATGTGAGTGTGAAAGAATGAGACGTTGAAAGTGGAATGATTTGATACAACATGACTAACTTCATATTGAAGTTGCTTCAGTGTTTTCATAGCACCGTTTGATTGAAGACTTTCAGGTAAACAAAAAAAGAAAAGCAATACAGGTAAATATGCATGACTATACCCCAGCATATTATCAATTAGGTGTAAGCCTAAATGGAGCACCTACCTTTTTATTTTTTTTTGCACAAAAGTTTTCACACATACGTCCATTGTATTTTTGAAAAGCCTTTACATGCAAACACATTTTATGTGCTCTTCCTAACCTTCTCTTCTTAATGTTTGCTGCTACTGTATGTAAGTGCTGTTCTATCTTCAATGTGTTTCATGGACCCGTGGTATGTGAATGGTCTCCTATGGGAAGAGAATGAGGGGAGAGTGGGGATGTTATTTAAGGAATGTACAACTAAGTAAGGGAAGTGTTAAAAAGGGAAATGAATGGAAACGAGGTCAGTGTTAGAGGGCTATGCGTTGGGACTGAGGCTTCAGAGTTTACCAGGAAGTGGTGAACATTGTTAGCTGCTTTGTTTTCTTGAAGTGTAAATAAGCATGAGGCAGAATGCATAGTGCTATGACACAAGCCATGGTGTCTAACCTCCAGCATCTTTTTCTACTGCAAGGAAAGGTCTCTGTGTGTGAAATGGTTTACTGTTTTCTGTGTTCCTTTCAGAAATAAGAAATAAAAATCTAATGTTTATAGTGTGAAAGACTCCTGACTTTTTAATCTGGATTTTAGGTTGGAGAATATAATATTATCCAGCTGGCATCATCTCGTGCAATACCATTGTCTAGGCTCAAGTAGAATATTCTTAGACCTAGATTCAATCAGATCAAGTATTAACCGGCACTAGCCGAAACCCGCATGGCTGATGTTTTTGCAACGTTTGAGGTGTAACTGCATTGGATCTGTCAAATTGGTGAGCAGCTGCTCTTGATCATTGTCACAAAGCCACACCTGTCCCACTCATGTTAGAAGTTTAGAACGAGGAAGTGTAGGCTATATAGAAATAATTAAGATCAAATTGAAAATCATTAAACAAAAATAATGAGGAATTTTATCATCCTAATCGAGGTCTACATTACATCTCATATTCCAGTGTTCGAACTTGTAAACAAGGCTGCATGGGATTACTCGTAATGCAACTCCGTGCAGCCAATGACATGGTCCACTTTAGATATAATGCCAAAAGCTGCTTGTGGATTTTACAACTCTTAACGCAGTTCCACCTCCGACACCGCCAAAACAACCGCTATGCGGATGTCGGCTAAAGCGGATCTGATTGAATAGAGCCCTTAATTACATTTTGTGACTAAACGGGGTGCACAAATTATTAAAGTGGTGTGACTCTTATAACAAAGTACATATATATAGGGGTGACCCATTCAAACATTTGTTTTAACCTTTATTTAACTAGGCAAGTCAGTTAAGAAAAAATCTTATTTACGATGACGGCCTACACCGGCCAAACCTGGACAACGCTGGGCCAATTGTGCACCGCCCAATCACGGCCGGTTGTGATACAGCCTGGAATCGAACCAGTGGGTCTGTAGTGACACCTCAAGCACTGAGATGCAGTGCCTTAGACCGCTGCGCCACTCGGGAGCCCAACATCAATCAAGCAGTTAAGAGCATTTAAACAGACACAAACATCCATTGTACTGTAAGTATAACCTAAACCTCGGGACTGTCTAAATGAATGCATCATAAATCGTGGTCACCTTAGCTGAGAGCAGTAGGTCAGGGTCTGGTCCATGCCTCGATGGTACACTATGTTTCCAGTGTCACGTGACGCACGTCGATCAGAAAGAGCAGAGAGCCTGACTGAAGAATGCTGAAGAGACGAATAGCCATGCAGGCGAGGTTAACGGACAGCACTGAACAGACAGACATATGCCTCATTAACCAAGATGCTGCCAGTTGTTTGAGCATAGATCAGACAGCTCCAGACAGGACCAGACAGGTTGGTGCAATTATTAGAGACAGAGAGAAGCTCAGAAGATAACAGATGGTGTGAGCATACATTTAGCACTGCCTGCTAGCCATTTGCTGCAAAAGCCGTTTAGAAATTCTGTTTTCTTCAGGATGCACTGACCTGGGATAACTTGGCATGTTTGACTTGACGTTAATCAAAGTGTAGAAAAGAGAGAATTCTGTTGAATCACAGATGAAGGGAAGTAGACTCTCCCAGAGAGGTAAGGTGAGGAGGCTTCTGTGTTTGCTGTTTAAAGGTCAGAGTTGAATTGAGCGAGTCAGTGACTATCAAGTTTGGATTGATTAAAGCAAGGAGAGACTGTAGATCTCCTGATTAATGTAACTGAGAAGCATTGTCTTGATAGCAATGAGTGGTCTGTCCCCTGGCTGAGGCTTATCATTTGTTTTTGGTCTCGTCTTTTTCTGATGGTCAGAGATAGAGGGTCAATATACCTATCACATGCATGCATCGATCAGCACGTGAGCAGATATACAAATATCACACACCAAATAATACTATTTTCAGCTGGTTCAAATCAATTGGGTCAATAGAGTACAAAAACATTGTTGGATTTGGCAAAGCCTACCCTGCAAATAATGGGATCCTGAAGTGAATTTAGGTGATATCGGCTGCTTGTTAACACAGGACACTTCAATAATATCATATGGATACATAGCATTTCACACATAAACCTACGAAGGCTATCACAAGTAAGGTGGACAAAGCAAGCCTTTGTGATGAATCAAACATGGTCCATCTCCAGGGGCCCCAATCAGGCCTGGAAATGTTCTAATTACTGCTGGACATAAACGGCATGGTCCAGTGAGCTCTGTTGACATTTTTTGAGGGGTCTTGGGTAAAGAACAGTGACCCACTGCTCTGCTTTACTGTCTGAGTCTGATTGACATGATGCCTAACGGTCCTAGGGGTGGCTGGATAAAACAGACTAACTGACTAACTAAAAATACCCCCTCCGTTCTAGAGCAATCATCATCATAGGCCACTGAACACAGAAGAAAAAAAACGGGGTTTCCTGGGTATCCCAAAAGCAGCTTTAAAAAACAGCATTAAACTTATCAGAGTAGCCCAAACATGAGGACCACAATGCTACTACTGTGAGATTTATGTTCACGTTATTGCTACAGTTCATATATTATCGTAAATAGATACGAAATTACCATAATACTGTATTTTCTTAGGTAGTCCATCAACTTTCTCATAACTTGCTTATAATAATCTACTATAAGTAGAAATGCAAAATATTTGCAGCAACCAAGCCAAGAGTCCATGGATCTTGCTGCCTTTTTGCAGGTCAAAAGGTCAGATCTGTCAGATAGCAGCTGTGGGTGCTACTCCCTGTCCAGTCACTCTACTACTAGACATGTCATATTACTTTTACTCATTCATGCCAATGGACCCCTTTACACTGCCAACACCTCACCTTAGCCAGCATCCCAGAATGGCTCCTCTACTATTTGCTCCATGTGAATAAGCCCAATAGCCTGACAGATGTGTGTTAACTTTGGTTACTCATCAGATAGAGTTGAATGAGTTGTTATGGAGTGTAATGTTTCCAAAGACGTTATGGGGTTATAATGACACATACGTTTTCATTCCATTACAATTCCAAATATTTCCCGACGCAGTAATAGGTCCCATCATTTAGTATTTGGGGTTCACTAATTATAGAAAATCCACCACTCAGTATTGATACTATCAGCTTGAACATTGAAGCCAAAGTAAAGATCAGTGTTTGTAACCAGGTTCTTGAGAAACAAAGATGTTTCATCATTGTTTACTGACAGAGTTGAATAATTTTCCTGTTGCTCAATACAGTGAATTCTGGAAGTGACTATTTCAATCTAATGGTCTGTCTTA